CCCGATTTTTATCAATTCGCCGGCACAGTTGTAACGTGTCAGATGCCAATAAAAATGACAAGCGTATAACTTTACATGGCATTACAGGTAGCGTATGTCATAGAAAATTACAGTTTGCCGCCCGAAATTGCAATCGTAGTCCACTGCCGCAAACGACGTGGCAGACGGGAGCGGTGCAAGCTGCATACGTATGCGCTCCTCTTCGCGAAGATCGATAGTTCAACGTACAGACGTACAAGCGTAATAGCTATGTGCTCAGCCTCCGCAGCTCATTCATGTTATGTATGAATAGATATATTTCTTATCTACTGGAGGAACTGCATAAAAAGAATACAATCAAACGGGTATATCCTATTAATCAGGAAATACTTGTCAGTATTCTTGTCAGCATAATGTTACATCGCTTTGTCGATTCCCGGCACGTTTATTTAATATTTTAAGTATGCAAAATGTAACCCAGAAAGAGAAAGAGAAGAAGAGAAGGGAAAGGGGTGTTATTTCGATCGACGTGGATCGCAGCCAATAATGAGAAACGTTGGAAATGCGAATGGGGACGCTTGGAAATACACTCGAAAAACGCGAGGGATTAAGAGAATTCGTCGGCGCAAAGTCCGAGGGGATTCGATTCTCTTTCCTTCGTCGCCTCCACGGCCGTTGCCGTGGAAAATGGAGGAGCCGCCTCTTCTCAAGGATGCGCCTGCAGCAACGTTTCCACTGCGGAGATTTGCCCAGTCCAGTCCCGGGTTGAGGAGAATCTCACGCAACGAATTTCCCCGGCAGTCTCGACCCATCTTAAATAACCGTGGATCGCCGAGGTTCCCGAGGGAGATCTTAACGTTTCAGTTGGCCGCGCAAAGAGAGTATTTCATATCTCTCATTACCGTTATTCGCACATCCGACACTTCGATAATGGTTACGGCAACAATCCATAACGCGTTGCTCTCCATCTTGCTTTAATCAAAAGGCTGAACGAGAAAGCCGCGGACGAGCGAGAACTCGGAGACGAGTCTTAAATGATCCACGGGAAATTTAATGTAACTGAAAACTGCATTTTCTGCACTTAACATAATGCGGGAGATGGACGAACACTAAGAGATACTTAATTATTTACGATCAGCGTGAAAGATAAAGGTGGATGGGCGATATATTTGCGCGGCGAGAACGTGTTCCAGCGGAGAAAAGTCGATAAGCACAGCGAGCTGCAACGAAACTTTCAAAAGCTGCCGAGGTATCCGGCGGAGCTTTCCTAGTACGCCGCTAACGGTGGAAATAGCGAGAGAAAAGAGAGGACGGCGGTATGAAAAAGGGAGGGTTGTCCCGTTGAAAATGGAGATAAGTAAATAGGACGCGGCATAAAAAAAAAAAAGGAAAAAGAGAGAAAGAAGAATAAAATCGGCGGAATGGTCTGTTTCAGACAGCCCGTCTCCTCCTCTCTAGGCTTTTTATTTCCACCATCGTGAGCGTTTCCTTCCTCGCGCGTTTATATACTGTCGGCGCGGAAAACGAGTTTGGATAATCAAAAAAGGAGCGAGAGAAAATCGAGACAATTTCTGGACGAAGTCACTTCGCCAAGAAATTGTTAACTGCGTGGTCGGTTGGCCAACCGGTTCTGCTCTGTTCGTGACTTTCCTCTCGATAAAGAATTACATCGAAAGAAAAGAAGCAAGACGCGGTATCGAGTCGCCCGAACGAAGCGTACATATAAATCTTCATAAGAGAATTCGAGCGTCAGTTTTAACTATTGATGGGAGCTTTCTCTGTAAAATAAGTCAAAGCAGAGTCGTCGCTACTTTAATCTTCCTTCACGTAAGAACTCTTAATTTTTTAATCCCTCGACACTTCCACGTGCGCAATTCCGAGAATAATCTGATTTCGATCGTGCACTCTCAGCAGGCTGTAGCCTCCGTGAAATAAGGGAGGAGATTCAGGAAAATAAGGGGGTGCCAAACGGGGGTGCAAATTGGCGAAAGGGGTGGGGAGCGGAGGGGTGGTAACAGTCGGCGCCGCTTCCTCTTCCGCCCCAGTAATCAAATCTCTTGACTCACTTGGCGCAAATTAAAATGGCTACGAGATCTGCAGATTGCGCGCCGGGGGATCGCGCGATCGAAGAGAGATGCGAAGAGGGATCCTTCGCGATGGAGCCAATAAATAAGGGATGAGGGGAGAGGTGTCTACGTGACAAAAAACGACACCGCACATAATCGCCGCAGTGTATACGCAGTATGATCAAATCAAAAATGCATGCGACTCGCGGCTGCGAGCACGACGCGTTAAATTAGCGTGCGAGCGTGTATTTGATCGCGAGATTGTGCACGGAGTACGCGGCTTGACACGTAGAATCAATAATACGCCATATTGATGGCGATCATTGATAATCCCGTAAACGCACACGCAAACGGCAAATTATACCGTGTTCGATACCGATGTGATACTTTACGTTGCATCGCGGTCAATCGTCGCGACGTCGAGCTGACATTTTCCTCCTCTACACGTAGGTGAGAAAACCCGAAACATTTCGCGTTATATTTCGGATATTTTCTCGTATTTAAAAATTAAATTCGCGAGATGTCGAGTTCTATAATATCGGGTCACGTAGAACGCGACGTGACGACGTAAAACATGCACAACACAATCCATTCGATATCTGCGCGTATTGTATCGTTTAACAGTGAGGAATTTTCGACGTTTGACATATCTGCTTTATTTTCATAACGGATTTATAGGCGATAAAGTGCTCAATTTCAATTCGCGTGCATTCTCTGCCGAGCGTGATGTATGTAGCACCTCTTCCCGATCTTAAGTGCCTTTACCGCGCAAAATCCCCGAATAAAACGCGCGCGAATGGGCATTTATAAATAAATATAAACGCCACAAATCCATGAACCTGAACTGAATCATTATCGCGTTTGACCGATAATGATCTTGCACCGGATTAATTATCAAATTAATGAAGCCCAACGCCCATTTATATCAGATGGAGAGTACAGATGTTGTGTGATGTAGTACGCAGTCTGCTGCGCAAATTACAACTACACACACAC